ATAGTGCGCCGTATTCGTAAGAATTACTGAGGAATTCTTTAAATAAACTTCGTGTGGATTCCTATAAGAAAATGATAGGAATTCCGAACGGAATTTTGGGTGAAAAATTTTTTTAAAAAAATATTCGCCCACTTTTCCGACCGAATAGTGCGCGGTATTCGTGCGAATTACTAAGGAATTCTTTGAATAAACTTCGTGTGGATTCCTATAAAAAATTGATAGGAAACCCGCAAGGAATTTGGCTGAAAATTTTTTTTTTAAATATTCGCCTAAATTCCGTTCGGAATTCCCATCAATTTCTTATAGCAATCCACACGAAGTTTATATAAAGAATTCCTTAGTAATTCGCACGAATACCGCGCACTATTCGGTCGGAAAAGTGGGCGGATATTTTTTTAAACAAATTTTTCAGCCAAAATTCCGTTCGGAATTCCTATCAATTTCTTATAGGAATCCACACGAAGTTTATATAAAGAATTCCTTAGTAATTCGCACGACTAACGCGCACTATTCGTTCCGAAAAGTGGGTGAATATTTTTTTAAAAATATTTTTCATCCAAAATTCCGTTAGGAATTCCTATCAATTTCTTATAGCAATCCACACGAAGTTTATTTAAAGAATTCCTTAGTAATTCGCACGAATACCGCGCAATATGCGGTCGGAAAAGTAGGCGAATATATTTTTAAAAAAATTTTTCATTCAAAATTCCGTTCGGAATTCCCATCAATTTCATATAGGAATCCACACGAAGTTTATTTAAAGAATTCCTTAGTAATTCGCACGAATACTGCATACTATTCGGTCGGAAAAGTGGGCGGATATTTTTTTAAACAAATTTTTCAGCCAAAATTCCATTCGGAATTCCCATCAATTTCTTATAGGAATCCACACGAAGTTTATTTAAAGAATTCCTTAGTAATTCGCACGACTAACGCGCACTATTCGGTCCGAAAAGTGGACGAATATATTTTTCAAAATATTTATCAGCCAAAATTCCGTTCTGAATTCCTATCAAATTCTTATTGGAATCCACACGAACTGTTTTTAAAATATTCGTTAGTAATTCGCACGAATACCATACGAATTTCGGTCGAAAATTTGGTCAAAAATGTTTTTTGTATTCATTTTTCTGAAAAAAGTCGCACGAATTCCTATTAAATTATGGACGAATTCTGTTTCAAATCGCCACACGGCGTTTTCCAGAATTCGACAGGAAATCTGGACGAAATCTAAACGAATTCTTTCGGAAATCTGGACGAATTCCGAACGAATTCCAAACGAATTCTTTACGAATCATTTGCACCTGGGTTTTGAGAGTTGATTTTTATTAAAATTGGAATTAATTTGTTTTTGAAATGTTTGAGTACTCTCTAATAGCGCACGACGTTCTAGAAACAGAAGGATTTGATCAAGAGAAGGAAGATCAGTACCACCGATCATATCTTCCCATCTTTCAATTGTATGGTAATTCAATTTTTCTTTTATAATATAAATAATTAAAACATCCCATTGATCAACCGGTAAGTCAAGAGATTTGAGAGCTCTAAGTGTTTTTCGTACATTATCGAGCAACGATCGTATACTAAATTCCTTTGAAACATTTGGAATTTTAAAAAGAGCACTTACGTGACTATTAACAATATATTTGCGATTGTGATTGTCTCGAGAGAAGCAATGACTTCTGCTGCTTCGTCCTTAGCACATGCCTTTAAATAATAAAATTTCTGAATCGTCGGAATGTGAGGATTGTCATGACACATAGATTTAAATGAATCATGGAATGAAAGCCATGTGTCAAAACTACCATGAAAGGTTGGTGTTTGAAGCTTAGGAAGTTTAAATCGCGCATGAAATCGTATTTTTTCTTGATTAACATTTTCTCGAGTTTCTCTATTTTGATAATCATTTTGTGTTAAACCATTTCCTTCAGGCAAATAATTTATTTGTGAATTAACATTAGGAGCTATAATATTTTGATTTATTCCAGAGATTGTGTTCTGTTCTCTCACCAAGTGATGATTTCTAGAACCTGGTCTATAAATTACTTCGGTTTGAGAAGTTGAACTATTATGAGAATCGTTCTCTCTAGAATCACTGTTCATGATTTTATAATAGGGGTTTTTTATGTATTTTTTAAAAAGACCGCAAATATTATGATACCGATTTTCAAAACTATCTCTTTCAGGAGATTTTTCTACTTCTATTTCATCAACTAAAACCTCGTCTAACTCATCTTGAATTTTATGAAAGGTATCCCACAATAGAAGGTGTTTTTCTAATCTATCTTGTAAATTAAGAGAATCAAAATTAGTTTCTTCATTTATAGACGCGAGCAACTTCTCAGCATTGGTCAGTTGACGTTTTATGTCGCCACGAGATTTTCTTAAAATAGTATGTTTTTCTTCGGGTAACATTATGAAATTAAATTAAAATACACTGAACAGTTACAACCTACTTCACAGAAGTGAATTACTTTAACCCGTGGAGAAGTTTCCCTAAGTTTTTTATCGAAAACTAAAATTTGGTAAGTTTCTGATAGAGAAAAATGCAGAATTCTGGTTAGGTCCTGACGTTTTTGGTGACTCTTGTTTTTCTCAAAAATTTGTTTTATTTAACTTTTATTTAACTTTCAATTTTTGATTAATTATAATTTCAGGTTATATTACTATATTATTCTTTATAAAAAATATAATTTAACTGTAAAAAAAAATTTGTAGTTTATGTAATTCATTAGAAAATATAATGAATTTAAATTATTAAGAATGTGAAAATAATTTTAAATATGTAGCAATCAATTCGAAGATAATAAAAAATAAAAATGTCTTATTTAACGGTAAAATCTTCTTGAACTTTGAGAAATTATTTTGTATGATGTTTTTGTAATACAAAAATTATTTTATTAAACGTTAATATATATTACCAAATAGGGTATAAATGCTCCAGTCATTGACACTTTCTCAGTGGTTGGCACCCTGCTTGTTTTTTTAAATAAAAAGTAGTACTTATATTTCAATACTCGATTTTTGTAATAAATGTTGTAAAATTTAATAATCGTCTGCAAAATATGCTAGTTTTTTCGTATTGCTTAATATTATAGAAGGCCGCCAATGACTGAGGCAATTACCTTATATTAAAGGAAAAAAAAATAAAATTAATTAACAATTTTTTACTTTACACAATTAAATCAAACATAATTTTATTCTACACATTTAATTGCACACAGGAAAACCCTACACCGTTAACTCTAAAAAAAATTCTACACAATAATATGCGGAATAAAATTTAAAAACAAATAATAAAAATTCTAAACGATTAAATACTACAAAATATAACCGTACAAATTAAATTGCACTCAGGAAAACCCTACACGATTAACTCTGCACAAGAAGATTCTGCACCTTATATACTTACTCATAAGTATGTTTATGAAAAAAAACAGGGTTGCCATGTCGACTGTGTAGAATATAAAAAATTCTAATTAACCGTGGAGAGTTGTTCAGAGTTAATCGTGTAGGGTTTTCCGGAGTGCAATTTAATTTGTACCACGAAGTAGTATAAGGAGACTTAACGGGTGGAAAAACTTGGCCCCAGAATATGGCAATACCTATCTCGAGTTTTCCGGTAGCCGACGGTTCAGCGCGACCTCGGTGGGAAAATGTAGAATTAAATCGTGTCGTCTACTACACGTTTGAATTCAGAGCGGTTGGAATAAACATAATCTTTGAAAAAATATTTTTGTTGTATATGCATATTATTTGTGTAGTGCGCTTTTTAATTTTGTTGTTATTTAGTTGTAAAATATATATATATATATATATATATATATATATATCCTGTATCGGAAAAAGTGTTGTGTATTCCTGTTACGCACCATCGGTGCGTAACCATTTGAAATTTATTGAAGAACAAAAGTTATATTTAAAAAAATGCCGTCTACATGTTTTATAAAAGGCTGCAGTTCTGGCAGTGCAGCACAAATAAAAAGAGATGGGCAGAGAAAAACCCTCTTTACAGCTCGCACAGTAAGTATATTTAAAATTAAAATTATTAAATTTATTAAATTTTTCGCATGTAAACATGCGGTTAATGACATTGTGATTAACACTTGTGAAACATTTGTTTACTTTAAGAGGGAATTGTCGATCAACAGAATTTTTTGTAATACGTGACATTCGATAATATTTTTCTTATTTTATTATTCTACTAAGTTAAAAATTTTTGTGATTTCTATTTTAAAAAAGAATTAAATTTTTAATAACTTTATCATAATAAAACTTTTATAATAATAAATAAATGAGGAGAAAGTTTTCAACACTTGATAAATCCATATTTTTTTTTGTAAATTAGAGCAAATGTCATTTTTTAGAATTAAATAAATTGTAATTAATTGTAATAAATTGTAATTAATTATTCATATAAGAACGTTTTTTGAGTTTAACACCTTAAAGTTAATTATAATTTGGGAATTAAAAGGTTTTGATAATTTTTTTCTAATAAAAAGACTGAAAATTGTAAATCATCTAAGTTAAGCCCAGAAATGTTTAAATTGAAAATTCTTTGTTAACAAATTTTTTTCTTAAATTCAATAGTGACAGATCGGTTTGTAAGGTCATTAATTTGTTAAATCTGTGTTTATCTCAATTTTTTTAGAAAATGGATTTATGAATTTTTAAAAATTTGCTCCACAAAATAAATAATATGCATACATAAGTAAAAATTTTTTCTCAGCCTGAAATGTTTCAGAGATGGTCAGAAAAGATGAATGAGTTGGGTGAAGAATTCACCAATGGAACATTCTCCAAAAAAGAACGTATATGCATATTGCATTTCAAAGAAGAGCATATTTTTCGTTATTTTGATACAGGGACAATTAAATTGGTAGAGCGAGAAATCCCGCGTTTAAAAGACAATGCCATACCAACAATTTTTTCCCAGTCAATTTCTGAGAAAATTTCCGTTGGGAGTGCATTGTTGGTTGAAGATGCATTAACGTGGGATAACCTGGAACAAAAATTCCCGAACTTAAAATTTTTTGATGCTTTGCTAAAAAATATTGACAAAATGTCATTGCCGGCAGGATGGGATTGTTTGAAGCAGTCTAAAATTCTCATTTTTGTTTATATGATTCAGCAAAACAATTTCTCCTGCAGCAAATTAATAATGGATGAGGAGATGAACATTCGTGTAAGTACATATGCGAATATTCATCTACAAAAAAGAGTATTTTTTTTATTTGAGAATATTTTTATTAAAAAAAAAAAGACTTTTTTGTGTATAATTTATTTATAAAATGTTGAAACGAAAAAATCTGTTTAATAATATTTATAATTTATTTTTTAAATTTTACAATAAAAAATATATGGCTAATAAAATTTATATTTCAGGTCAAAATAGGGGAATTTGAGGCAATGAATTGCCCCAAAAAAAATTGAACCACAGGAAATTCCAATCGCTTTGGATGTAATTTTGAAACTAAAACACTGCAGTGCACGCTTTGAAAAGTTTGTCTCCTTTTAATAAATATTTCACTTATATGTAATTATAATCTTAGTATATTTAACAAATAATTTATTTATTTAACGTGTTTACAGGCCAGAAGAGTGTTACGGGTTCGTTTTACCAAAAATGAAAAATTGCCCTGGACGACAAGCCGAATTGTGTAAGCCATGCAAAAAAAGATGAATCGCAGCCTCAGTTAAAAAATGCAAGTCCAAAAAGAAAGGAAAAAAAACATCATTGTCAAAAGAAGACTGAGAAATCGGTATAAAAGCGTCAACCGCAGAAATAAAAGACTTGAAAAAAAGGTAAAAAATATTTAATTTATGTTTAAAATACTTATACATTTAATAATATAAATTTAATATGCTTTTCATTTTTTGTTTGCATTATAGTTGAATATGATGAAGAAAAAAGTGGAAATATTGAGGGAAAAGTGCGCAACTATAAAAGAAGATGTTTTAAAAGAATCAATATCTAATCTTCCGAAAAAACAACAAACTGCAGTCAAAGCCTGTTTCGAAGCCTCAAAACTGAAAAATATTCGAAGCATGAGATATACAACTGATTGGATATACGAATGTATATTACTTCGTATAAAAAGCAAAAAGTTGTATAGGCAGTTAAGAAAAGACAAGATTTTGATTCTACCATCTCCAGAAACGTTGGCCAAGTATCTTCGTCATATTAAAAGCACGTATGGCTTTCAGGCTTATATATTCGAAGGACTGAAAAAGAAAACGGCATTTATGGCACCAGAAATTCGACGAGGTAAAAAAATTAAATTAAATTAAAACGAAAATTGAAATACATCACAATTGATTTTGTTTAGGCGGGTCAGAAATAAATTAACGACCCTAAACAGCATTAATTTTTATGTGTTAAATTCTCACCGATCCCTCCCCTTAAATTTAAATAGAATAATATAAATTATAAAGTAATATATTATGAAATTGTAACTTTATTGGAAATCAATATAATTCGTAGGTATCCTTGCCATTGATGAGATGAAGCTATCAGAAACTGTGAACTTCGATCGAGTAAACTTGACAGTTGAAGGTTTCACGAATTTAGGAGATCATACCCCTGACAATCAAAAGCACCTTAGAGGTCACCACGCATTAGTGGTCATGTTTCAACCTTTTCGAGGAAATTTTGTGCAAGTGATCGGTTGTTTTTTAAGTAAGGGAAGTGCCAGTAGTACTGTCTTGCACAAAATACTTTTAGAAGCTATTGCTCTATGCGAGAAGGCAGGATTATTTATTGACGCGATTGTTATGGATGGTGCTGCATGGAACAGAGCAACATGGAAATTGTTTGGAATTAGCAGGAAGAGAAAGCGTATAAAACACCCGTACGATGGAAGACGGAACTTGTGGTTCATTTCTGATTGGCCACATTTAGTCAAAGCTTTCAGAAATTTTATTGTAAAATTTTTGAAACTTCAGCTAATATTTGTAAGCTTTTAAAATAAATACATATATTAATGAATATTATTATTGCTAAAAAATCATAAAATATGCTAATTTTTAGACACCTGATGGTGCCATTTCGAAGAAACATTGGTATGCCTTGCTGGAAAAATTGAACGAAGTTCCTTATGGAATAAGAGTCAATTATAAACTTCGAAAAGATCACATTGATCCTAAATACTACATGAAAATGAATGTTGCGCTTGTATTTGAGGTATTAAAAGCATTTTTCATTAATTAAGGTATTTATTTTGAAGAAGAAATAAACTTCTTTTATTAATCTTTTAGTTTTTCAAAATCCATGATGCTCTACAAGTTTATGAAAACACTCACGAAGATTTAGAAGACTGTGAGAGTACTATAATATTTTGCAAGAGAGTCACGAATGTTATTCGTGCGATGAACAGCAGAACTCCAGGTGACGCTATGAAACCAGAAAACAAACTCTGGAATGTTGGTATTATTATATTTCTTTTTTAATAAAATAATAAAAATAAATTAAATTATACTTTGCCTTAATCTTCAACAGGATGTTACTAATTTCATCAAGTACATAGAGGAATGGGAAATTGACGCAAAGAAAAAGAATGACAAATTTTTGACAGATAATTGCTTTTATGGGATGTTGATTTCTTTATCAGCTACGTTAGATATTTGTCGGTTTCTCACTACTGAGTGTAAGTTCGATTATTTAATGACGGGACGCTTAAACCAGGACTGTTTAGAGGTAATATTAGTTTCGCATGTTTTTATCAATTTGAATATAATAATTTATTTAATTTTATAACTAAATTTTATCTTAATTTTTAGAGATTTTTTAGATTAATGCGCGAGTGCTGCGGATCAAATGATCATCCGGACTCAACGTTGTTTATCCAAATGTTTAAATTATTAAGCACGTATTCCCTCATTAAGCCGCCTAAGGGATGTAATGTAGAAGGAAACGAAATTTTAGTCAGTTTACTCAATCTGAAAGATATTTTGAACATCGAGGAAAGAAAAGAACATTGGGAAGCAATGGTTGACACAATTGTGGACAGAGGATCTGGATCTCATTTATTAGGCGAAGCATCCCAAATCATGTTTGAACATGATTACTCGATATCTGAAACATCAGAATACGCAGTTTCGTATATTGCAGGATACGTCAGTAGAAAAGGTGTTCGATTTGCAAAATATGTTGAAAAAAAAAAATGTTCTATGCAACGATTGCATAAAAACACTTGTTTTAGCACCGACTGACGTTATACCCGAACGTCATAAATTGATTGAAATAAAATCAAGAGGAGGTTTATCACATCCATCGCTTCAATTTATGATTTAATTGCAACATTGGAAAATGCCACTGTTAATACTGTAAATAGTACAGAATTAAATGCAAATACTTTGTTACAAATAACCAAAGCTTTGGAAAGTGTATCTTCGATTCCAGTTGTAGGTTGCGAGGCACATGTTGCTTTATTAACAAAAAAAATTTTTACGTTCTATTTGACAATGAGAATGCACTTTATTTGTAAAGAGTACAACAAGACTCACAATGAACTAAGGGAAAAAACAAGAGAAAGAAGAAAAGCTGCAAAGCTAACTTCTAAATCTTTGGAAAAAAAAGGAAATAACTTCGATTCATCAAAAAACAATTGCTGTGATAATTTAAATCCACAATTTACAAAGAATGAACCACGCAAAAGAAAACGAAAAAATGTGGAATCAAATGAGACTGAAATACCTGCAAAAAAAGCAAAGAAATAATTGAATTACGAGTGCCTTTAATGTATTGTTTAACAGTTATTTATTGCAAATATTTTGTCATTATTTTTAAATGACTGTAGATAATTCCAAAGAAATAATGAATTAAAAAAGTTATCGCTTTTAGACAAGTAGAAAATATTTTTACATCGTTAAAATGATAATTGCTGGTGCTTTTAATGTATTGTTTAAAAGTTATTTTTTTAAAATAAGTTTTGTCATTAATTTTAAATGACTGAACATAATTGCAAAGAAATAATTAATTTAAAAAGTTATTGTTTTTATACAACTAGAAAAAATTTATACATCGTTGAATTGATAATTACGAATGTTTTTAATGTATATTGTTTAAAAGTTGTTTATTTAAAAAATATTTTGTCATTAATTTTAAATGACTGCAAGTAATTGTTATACGATATAATTTAAAATTGTTTCAAATTTTTTCATCCATATGGTTATAAAGAAAAGGATTGAAATAATTATATTTTAAAATATTGTTAAAAAGACAATTACGAGTACTTTTAATGTATTGTTTAAAAGTTATTTATTGCAAATATTTTGTCATTAACTTTAAATGACTGTACATAATTGCAAAGAAATAATTAATTTAAAAAGCTATCGTTTTTATACAAGTAGAAAAAATTTATACATCGTTGAAATGATAATTACGAATGTTTTTAATGTATATTGTTTGAAAGTTATTTATTTAAAAAATGTTTTGTCATTAATTTTAAATGACTGCAAGTAATTGTTATACGATATAATTTAAAATTGTTTCAAATTTTTTTATCCATATGGTTATGAAGAAAAGGATTGAAATAATTATATTTTAAAATATTGTTAAAAAGACAATTACGAGTGCTTTTAATGTATTGTTTAAAAGTTATTTGTTATACATTTGATGTCGTTAATTTTATGTATATGACGAAGTAATTGTTATACAATACAATTAAAAATTATTTTTTAATTTTCTTATTAACGTTGTTATAAGACAAGGTTTGGAATAGTTGTTGTGTTAAAAATTTTATAGACGGTTATTGTTATTTATTTTATATCTGCTGCATTTGTATATGGGAATACGCACACTTGTTTCGACAATTTATTAAATAAATAAATTACTTAAATTTGAAAATTTTTAATTACTGATATTTAATAAGATCAGTAAAAATTGATTTATTTTTCATAATTAAATAATTAATTCAAAAATTAATTCAAGTTTACAATTTTCTATTATATGCATCATAATTAAAACTATTATAAATGTTTGTATAAAAGTATATTTACAAATGTATAAACAACATTCACAAAAAAAGTATAAATAGATACTAAATCACTTTTTTATATAATTCATTAAATTTTGAATATACTGTACAACAGTAAAAATCATTTGATTAAAAATTATTTTGATTTAGTTATTCGTCAATTTCAAGTATTCAATGTAAATTAAAATCTTAAAAAAAATTGTACAATTTTTTTTATCGTGTCTCTATTCCATTGCATCAACAATGGATAACATATTTTCAACTTCGCCAATATCTTTTATTCTCATAAACTTAGATAAAGGAAAAAGTTTATCATTAATAAAAATCTTTATACTCAACTCCTCCATAATAATTACTCGTTTTTTGGTAACACTATTTTCCTCCAATTTGACAAATGCAATGAAATCTTTGTTTCTTGTCATATGATGCCACTTGTCAGAAGGCAATTGTGATTTTATAAATTTATTCTTACACTCTTTAAATGTAAGTTTTTCCATCGAATGCTCCATGATTTACTTTTTTTTCAATAATAAATATAATTGAAAATTAATGTAACATTTGTTACTCCTTGAAAAGTTTATTTATTGTTTTGTTTGGCATCATTTAAAATAGACATAACCTACAACAATTAATGTAAGAATAATAAAAACATGTCAACTGATAAAGAAATAATGCTGTACACTATTTTTAAAGAAATTAAGCTTTCATACATACTGTTATATTGTCTTATTTTAATCCCTTCATTAATCAATAATTAAATATTTAAATTATCACATGCACATTTAAACTTTTCACAGTGCATTAGAAGCAGACGACACGATTTAATTCTACATTTTCCCACCGAGGTCGCGCTGAATCGTCGACTACCGGAAAACTCGAGATAGGTATTGCCATATTCTGGGGCCAAGTTTTCTTTACATTTGCATGGCCGTTAAGTCTCCTTATACTACTTCGTGATTTGTACGGTTATATTTTGTAGTATTCAATCGTTTAGAATTTTTATTATTTGTTTTTAAATTTTATTCCGCATATTATTATGTAGAATTTTTTTTCTGAGTTAACGGTGTAGGGTTTTCCTGTGTGCAATTAAATGTGTAGAATAAAATTATGTTTGATTTAATTGTGTAAAGTAAAAAATTGTTAATTACTTTTATTTTGCTTATTGTTCAAGTGTAGGATTTTTTTTTGTAAAATTATCGGTGCGCAATTTTCTCGTGTAGGGTTTATTTGTGTAGAATCTATACCGCCCCGACAAAAACAATAAAATATTTTGTTTATAATTTTCTCTTTTACAAATTATTGATTGAAAAATTAAGTAAAATAGTTGTTTTTTTGCAACACTAACCTCTAA